TTATTTTCAGGAAAATTTTACTTGCATATAATGTTAATGATAGTGTTCAATATCTTCCACATTGCATTATATCACCTTTCTTTGGAATGGGCATGTATATGGATTTCTTCCAAACTTTCTTTCTTGTTTTTTTAATGACCTTTGCTTTTTTCATGTATTATTCCCTTGATGTCATCCCACAGTTCACCTGGTTTTTGGTCATGATTGTTCAATGCATCAAATCTATTCTTGAAATAGTGTCTCAATTCAAGGGGGATATAATCAAGGTTGTATTTTGGCTCTTGTGGATTTAATTTTCTTCAGCTTCAACTTGAACTAACCAGAAGGCTGGCAGTTCAAACCCACCAGCCACTCCTCAGAAGGAAGACTGGGCAATCTACTTCTGTAGAGATACTACTTCAGAAACCCAAGGAGGGATTGCCATGAGTCAGAATTGACTTGACGGCAGTGAGATTTTTTTTTCAACTTGAACTTGCATATGAGGAATTGATGGTCTCTTCCACAGTTCTGGCCTTGTTCTGACTGATGATATTGAACTTCTCCATCACCTCTTTCCACAGATGTAGTCAACTAGATTCCTTTGTATCCCTTCTGGTAATGTCCACATGAATAGTTGCTGCTTATGTTGTTGAAAAAAGGTATTTCCAATGAATATGTCATTATGTTGTTGTTATGTGCTGTCGAGTCGGCCCCGACTCATGGAGACCCCTCTTTGGGTTTCCAAGGCAGTATCACTACAGGAGTAGATTGCCCAACCTTCCTTCCGAGGAGTGGCTGGTGGATTTGAACCGCCAGCCTTCTGGTTAGCAGTCAAGTGCCTTAGACACTATGCTACCAGAGCTCCTAATATGTCATTTTGTTGTTGTTGTTGTTGTTATGTGCCGTCGAGTCAGCCCTGACTCATAGCGACCCCTCCTTGGGTTTCCGAGGCAGTATCACTACGGAAGTAGGATTGCCCAACCTTCCTTCTGAGGAGTGGTTGGCGGGTTTGAACCGCCAGCCTTCTGGTTAGCAGTCAAGTTCCCAAATTCTATCATGTGATCTTTGGTGCATTTCTGTCACCAAAGCCATATTTTTCAACTACTGTTACTTCTTTGTTTCCAACTTTTGCATTGCAAGCCATCAATTTCTGACTGCAGTAATTGGTAAAAATCTTTAATTTTTTCATCTTTGACATTAGTAATTGATGTATAAATTTGAGTAATAGTTATATTTACCTGTCTCCCTTGTAGGCATATGGATGTTATCCTATCACTGACAGCATTCAGGATAGATCTAGAAATGTTCTTTTTGATGATGAATGTGAAGCCATTCCTCTTCAATTTGCCATCCTCTGCATGGTAAATCATACAATAGTCTGACTCAAAATGGCCCAAAAACCAGTCTATTTCAGCTCACTAATGCCTAGGATATCAATCCATTTCATTTTTGACAACTTTTCTACAAATTTTCCTACATTCATACTTTGTACTTTCCACGTTCCAATCTAATGAATGTTTGAAGCTGTTTCTTCTCATTTTGAGTGGTGCCACATCAGTAAGTTGAGCTCCAGAAACTTTACTCCATTCACATCACTAAGGTCAACTCTCCTTCCAGATGGGATCTCTTCCCCAGGGATTTTGAATGCCTTCTAACCTGTGGCGCTCATCTTCCAGTGCTACAGCAGACAATGCCATGCTTCTATGCATAAGATTTCCAGCAGCCAATTAATTTTTGTAAGTGAATCGCCAGGTCCTTCCTCCTGATCTGGAATATCCACTGAAACCTACCCCCATGGATGACCCTGCTGATATTTTGAAATACTGGTGACATAGATTACAGCATAACATAAGCCATGACAGTATGATGAATTGATAGACAAGTATTGTTGTTAGATGCCACTGAGTCAGCTCCAACTCATAGCAACCCTATGTACAATAGAACGAAGCACTGTCTGGTCCTGTTCCAGCCTCACGATCCTTGCTACACCTGATCCCATCATTGCAGACACTGTGTCAATCCATCTCTTTGAGGGCCTTCCTCTTCTTCCTTGATCCTCCACATTACAAGCATCATATCCTTCTCCAGGGAATGGTCCCTTCTGACAACATGACCAAAGTAAGTAAGACAATAGATGAGTAGTGGGGAGTTAGACTTCAAAATATAGGGGTGCATTGACAAGAGTGTAAGATACACTTTCCTTTTTTCTTCTTCTAAAAGTAAAATGTAAGTGAAGAAACTACTATAAATTCAAGCCTGGGATGCCAGAACTGATGGTGGATTCATGAGTAGGACAAATGTCATGTGACTCAAAATGGACCTGGAGTCAGAAGACATGGTAACGTTATATGTCAGCTTAGCTGGGCCCGGTTTTGAGTGGCTGGGCAGCTGGTGGTATTTATTCCCCACGATGAGACTGGCAATCAACTCCATGGTGGGATCTGCTGTGAGCAGCTGAGTAGCTACTTTAGGGATATGATCTGCTTCTTGTCTATAAGGAGAAGCTTTGAGAATGGTCTTTTTGGCACACTTGAACCCTGTCCATAGCCAAGTTGTTGTTGTTCAGCAGCCTGCCATGGTCTTGGGACTTTTGCTGGACTTGAACTAGTGGCCTGCTATGTTGTTTGGTAACACTGGGACTGTGCCTTTTTATTTGTCAACCTTGGATTTGTCAGCCTCAGCAGCCAGCAGCTGCTTGAGTGAAGAAAAGCCTCCAGCTTTAGTGGGCCAGGAGCAGGAGGCAGAGCTGAAGGTCAAGGTTGAGGGGCTTTCACCCAGCCCCTCCCTAGGGCCTGGCCCTTTGAACTTGGACCTCTAGCCTCTGAAATTGCAAGAGGATAATTCCCTGTTTGTTCAAGCCATCCCATTTGTGGTATTTTCTGTTAGAGCAGCAGTAGGCAACCAAAACAGAGGACTAGACTAAGCAGCAGCCATTTGCACCATGTGACTATGGGCACCTATCATATCTTTTTCACCAGACCTACTTCGCTATATTAGCCAGCTACTTACAGTGAAAATGGCAACACTGGCTAACCACAGTTCCTTTTCCTTCCTTATTCATCATTAAGTATATTGGTTGAATGTGCACATTTCATGAAGTGAAATAAAGACAGCTGAGTTTGTTTTGTGCAGTATTTCTGCTGTTCTGGAACAAGCTACAAAATGAGTTGTCATTTCAGACATTCTGCACGTGTGAAAGTTTCTGTGTTGCACTTGAAACTGGCATTGCACAATATAAAGATGATCAAATTCTTGCTAATAATTTGATTTTTCTTCACTTAGAATGCCATTTAAATGGCATTCTATATAAAGACAATAAAGATGGAGCATTCTTCTTCTATAAAGATTTACAACCTTGGAAAGCCAATGGATGTCACTAAGGGTCAGAATTGACTTGATGGCAGTGAGGTTTTTTTTCTTTTTTTAATTTCCAGGTAACTGAAAGCAACACACTCAGTTTGGGTTTGATCATCTTTTTATTTCTCCCTTCCCACAACCAGTAAAAAAAAAAAAAGAAAAAAAAAAAAATCAATGCAAGTACAGAAATCCAATTTTTTAAAAAAATCACCAGAGTACAAGACAAGCCACAACCCCTGCCTGAGTTTAACTTACATATTTACAGGGTGTGTGGCAGGTGTTGTGGCTATAGTGGCATGTTGAAAAGATGATATTACAAAATATACAAAGATGGTGTTTCTTTACATTTCATAGGAGAACCCTGACTCATTTCCAAATGAGAGCACTATAAAACACAAATCCTGTTGGCTGTTTGCAATATAAGTTATTAAAAATGCTGTACAGGTGAGTGGCTATAAATATAGAGTGTAAATGGCTCTGTTTGGGAATTGCTATCTACAAGGGAGGAGGAGGCTTCAGTCTGGTATCACAACCTGTTGAGATGGTGAAGCTGGGTTGAGGGGGGACAGCATCTTGGAGTTCAGCTGCACCCACTTTTTCCCAGACACCACTGAAGCTCATAAACTGCTGAGAAATGGGGCTGCTGAGGCTGAGCAATGGTGGGGAAAAGTGTAAATACATCATGGGGTTCCAGAAGGCATGTCCAGGACAAGAACAAGTACAGCCCTGGATGCCACAGACACATGTGAACCCCATGTTGATCATGCTTCTGTGGACAGCCCAGCCATACCATGGTTTCTTCCCTTTGAGAAAAGTTTGCAGCTTTGTTGGCATGGAGAGAGGGCTGGACATAGAAGCTCACCTATGGAGAAATGGGAAGTGTGGAAAGAGGTGGTTTAGGCAGATAATGCGTCTCCAGCAAATGAGCCCAGCTCAGACAGGGCTTCTCTCTCTCACTTAGGAGACAAAAGCATATGAACCTCTGTAGCTAAGATGTGACTCCTATTCTGGAAACTTTGTAGCCACAGAGCCTAAGCTTCTTCGCAATCTCAAGGTAAAAATGAACAATCAATATGAGAGCAATGACATAGCAGATAAAGTGATTGGACTAGCCTCACCCACCCAAGCATGGAGGCTGATAGGGCATTTGGGGACCCACACTTGTGGTCCTCCCAAGTCTCCATAAGCTCCAAACTATTATACTGCTTCCCCTAAACTGAGTTGATTACGACAATGGTGCCTGGGAGCAGTGGCCCTTAAACCACATCTTAGTGGCTCAATAAAGAAAAGTATAAATGTGTCTCTCTATGCATAAGCACATAATTACATATGTACCTTTGTGAACTTTCCATAATTTCTTTCTTTCAGCTTTTTCCCTCTGAAGAGGATGGTTTTTAAATCTGAACATAGGTCAGAGTGGTAACCCATCCGCGTGTAGAAGGTGTGATCATCTGTCTAGCCAGGTTTCATTGCCAAATTCTCACTCAGTGCTTTCCTGGGAGTGGAGAATCAAGGAAGCAGGGGCTGAGATTAATACCACCCTGCAGGTGATGTGGTGGGCTAAGGGGAGTGAGAGTTAGGACTGATGTCAACTCCATTTCTTAGTGAAAGGTGTGCAAAAGCATGTAGGACTTGGAGTTCCTCTTCCCACAGCTTGGCAGCCCCTAAAAGGCTGTGCTGTTGGAAATGGTCTTTGTACCCTGGGTATCAATTTGAGGCTTGACTCCATCCTGGGCCTCGCTGTCCATGGCCTTGTTATCGAAGGCCTCAGGGGCTTTGATGGGGATGTCATTAGAGTGCTCCTGCCCCTCCTCCAGATCCTCGCAGCATTTACTGCAGCGGCAACACTTGCAACCACACAGCAGGCAACACACGCGGCAGCACCAGCAGCAGCGCCTCTGGCAGAAACTGGTGAGCAGGGAGACGAGGTGGTCCCAGGGCTTCAGTGAGTGCATCCACCGAGGCAGGAAGTTCCAGTTCTGGAGCTTGTGGGGCAGGATACTTGGGCAGCGAGACTGCAGGATCCGGATGAACACCACTAGAAGCAGCAGGAAGATGATGGGCACACCCACGCCCACCAACACTGGCCAGCCAGCCAATGAGAGGCCAAACACTGTCAGTGGGGTCAGGAAGAAAAAGAAGAACAAGTAGAAGATGGCGAACCAACGGTACTTGGCAGAGATGCTGCCCAGCCCCTTGGCCAGGCGAATCGGCAACCGGGTGAATGGGATTGGGTACCACAGCAAGATGCCCGAGATGTTGAAGAAGAAGTGGCACAGGGCAATCTGAAAAACAAGAGGTTGGGCAGGTGAACAAGTGTGTCTGTTTTGTGGCTGGGGTGGGGAGAGGGGAGAAGGGCATTCTATCAATAAGTCAGCAAGGGAAACAAGGTTCAGATGGGAGTCAGCATTAGCTCAAACCAGCAAATGGGCCAGTTACACAACTGTACATCCACAAATGGACAGATCTGACTCCAAGTAGGAACAAAGGCTTGATACAAGGAACAATCAAGAAAGTTTTCCCCCAATTTTTTCTCTGCTGAGTTCTAGGATGGTAATTTCTTCAAAAATTATTTCATTTTAATGCAGTTAATTGGTGATATACAACTCATCATACAGTTGAATGCCACACATCAATGGAAAAGAATGAACTGCCAACTTAAGGATGATTTAAGGAGCTAGGAATAAGATTGTGTACTACGGGTAGTCCATGACTTACAAAGGGGTGCTGTTCTGACTACTATCATAAGTTGGTTCTGATATAAGTTGAGTACCTCATATTTTTAAAATTTATTGTTGCCTTAATAAGAGTATATTTTTAAATATGATCTTGGTCTTTGTAGGTTGGAAACTTTACATATGAGAATGATTTGTTGTTGTTGTTATGTGCCATTGAGTCGGACCTGACTCATAGCGACTCCTCCTTGGGTTTCCAAGGCAGTATCACTACGGAAGTAGATTGCCCAACCTTCCTTCCGAGGAGTGGCTGGTGGGTAATGAGAATGGTAACATCAGCAAATTACTCTCTGCCAACATTGTATGCAGTATGCATTGGTAAGGCTATAAGTGTGGTTCGTTATTCAAATATCTCATAAGGCAGGGATTACCCTGTATGTTGTTGTTGTTGTTGTTATGTGCCGTCAAGTCGGCCCCAACTCATAGCGACCCCTCCTTGGGTTTCCGAGGCAGTATCACTACGGAAGGAGGATTGCCCAACCTTCCTTCCAAGGAGTGACTGGTTGGTAGGTTTGAACCACCAGCCTTCTGGTTAGCAGTCAAGTGCTTTTAGCCACTATGCTACCAGAGCTCCTGATATATATTATCTGTATATATTTCCATTTATATGAAGCTCAAAAACAGGCAAAACTAAGCTATGACGAAAGCAGTTAGAATCATGGTTACTCTTTGGTGGGAAGGTGACATGGGAGTGCAGAGATGTAAAAATTCATCTGTCCTAACATTTGTACCTCAAAGAAAAAAAAGGCACTTGCTTCTTTATGGTACATGTAAATGAGTTTGAAAGAAGAAAGTTTTAAAAGATGTCGTTCAGAACCTTATGGAGAGTACTTGGTTTTGTTTTAGAACCCAGAAAGAAAATTTTGAAATTGAAATTGCATTGTTTTCAATCTTAAATCAATTTTCTCTTGAATCTTAGATGGGACCTGTTGTTGTTGTTGTTATATGCCGTCAAGTCGGACCTGACTCACAGTGACCCCTCCCTCCTTGGGTTTCCGAGGCAGTATCACTACAGAAGTAGATTGCCCAACTTTCCTTCTGAGTAGTGGCTGGTGGGTTTGAACCACCAGCTTTCTGTTTAGCAGTCAAGTGCCTTAGGCACTATGCTATCAGAGCTCCTTATGGGTCCTATCAGCCTGAAATGATTTTTACATACAAGCTAATATATACATATTCTCTTATCTCCATCCCTTGGCCCCCTTCTAAGGTATTCTTCCAGCCTGCTCAGACATAGGGAGAGAAAGTGAAAAGAAAAAAATAAATAAAATCCACCCACCCAGCACTGTACTCTACCAACCCTCTTGGCCAGTATCCTTTTAGAATCCTTCCCCATTCAATCCAGTGGAACTCTCCCTGTCCTTCAAAGTCCTCTAACAATGAAACTGTTTGGCACTGCTGCTTCCACCTCTTAACTGCACAGAGGATAATACCTTACTACATCATTCTAATAATCCCAATGAAAAAGGGATTATGGTGTTCATCATTCAGGTGAGGGAACTGATGCACATGGTGGTTAAGTCACTTGTCTAAGGTCACACATGGAGTAACTAGTGAACTATTTGCTCAAGGTCATCTAGTTGAATGAGACAAGGGAGGTACCTTGATTTTTCTTCTAATGCCGGGCCCATACCCTGCCTCGACTGTCTCCCTAACTCCCAAGACACCATGTTCAAGAGGTGGGTGAGAAGATGGGAGGTAGTGTCTGCACTACTAAACACTCTATCAAGTGGTCCCTCAAACTTTTCCTAAACCACGGCCAATTATGGGAACCCTGCTACCTCCACAAGGATCCTATCTCACTGTAGCTTCTCCTTCACACCTTTTGAACCCAGCAGATAAAAGCCTGCTTAGAGACTGTTAGAGACTGTTAGCTTGCAAGACCAAGGGATATTTGGTTATCTCCCTCCCTGATTTCCACCATCAACACCAATGGAAGTAGCAGTCAAGAAATCAGATGATGTAGTGCACTGGGCAAATCTGCTGAAGAGCCTTCTGGTAAGATGGTGGAATAGGTAGACAAGCTATACAGACCCTCTTCAACAAAGAAAAGAGAAATAAATTGCACAGCTATAGAAGATAATCCTGGATCCCTGACCTTTGAAAGGAAGGATAAAAAAGTGGATTAAACACCAACTAGTAGAAGAACCTGAAGGAAAACAGTAAGGAGACAAATGGAACTGTGGACTGTCAGCAGTCCTGACAGCATGGACAGACTGAATATTTCCAAATGGTGTTAGGATCTGAGAATTAACCAAACATCAGCCCTGATCACCAAGGGCTGCATGACTATTACACAGATAGCTGACAACTGAAAAGGGAAACAGCAAAGAAGGAGAAAAACTGAGCTATGGACTTTTGGCTGCCCAGAGGGCACAGATGTTTTGAATGTTTACAAGTGGCAGTTGGGTGCAGCCATTTGGAATGTTTATAAGTGGTGACCATTTGATAGTTAATGTGACAGCATTCTCATTCAGATTCCAGGGACCTAAGAATAGGCTTTGACTGACAAAGACAGCACAGACATAATGGAGGCTGGAGACTGGAAGGGAGGTAGGTAGAGGGTGCATAAGTGCTGCCAACTAGTGAACAGAGGAGTACAGTAACGTGCTTACTCAGATACATCCAAAGA